ACCGAATGAACTATATGGACTTTGTGCAGGTAAGGTAAGTGTGAGATAATTTATTGTCAAAGATTTGATCAAATAACAGTTTAGTTTTCTATTATTTATGCTGATTGTTGAAACTGTACTTGCAGAGACATATAGACACAAAAGCTGATATCACAGTATCTTGTGTACCTATGGATAATAGGTACAAACAAAATCTGAGGCCAAAGTTTCATTGATAATAGATCCCCATATTGTTTTTCAAGTTGATCAGTGTTAGTTCTCTTACAGCCGTGCATCAGATTATGGGCTGATGAAAATTGATCCGACAGGAAGAATTGTTCAGTTTGCGGAGAGAAACCCAAGGGCTCAAATCTAAAGGCAATGGTAAATATATTGCTCCTCGCATTTACTACATAGTTTTTACCATTGAAATCATATTTGCAGTTAATTGATCGGTTTTGTGTCCAACGAAGCTGATGCACTGTCACATCTAATAACTGCAGCAAGTTGACACCACCGTCCTTGGATTATCTGCACAAGAAGCGGAAAAATACCCTTACATTGCATCAATGGGTGTTTATGTCTTTAGAACTGAGACCTTATTGAAACTATTGAGATGGAGCTTTCCTTCATGCAATGACTTCGGATCTGAAATTATCCCTTCCGCTGTGAAGGACCACAATGTCCAAGTGAGAAGAAACTCCAACCATGAACTTGTGGCCTATATTTCTTTTCTTAGTTTAAATCGTTGAATGATCTAGAAAATGGATCACTTTAGATTAATTGGTAACACTTGATCCTTCTGATGTTATTGACGTTCTCAGGCATATTTGTTTAATGACTACTGGGAAGACATTGGAACTATAAAGTCCTTCTTTGATGCTAATCTGGCCCTGACAGAACAGGTTGGTTTAACTACTGTGCGAACTGTTATTTCTCTCGGTTCATACCAGAATGTTTGTTTCAATTGACTATGCTGCTACTCGATCATTTTTTGCTTTCTTGCAAGTGAGGGGATATTTTAATGGTGAAAAAATATAAGTTGGCTGTAATTCATTTTTGAAACGAATGAAAACCTGTCACAGACTAGGAAGGGTTTCCTATGTTGCTTCAGATCTTGGGAATCAGTCAAAATTCAGAAGATTTATAGGTGCTAGAAGCCAAGATGATGAGGATATCATTGATAATAACGGAGTTGATAATGGTTTTGAGAATAATAATGTTATCATGGACGTTTTCTTTCACTGGGAAAATTTTAGCATATTTACTGTTTGCAAATGTTATCCTTTGCAGCCTCCCAAGTTTGAATTTTATGATCCAAAGACGCCTTTCTTCACTTCTCCAAGATTCCTACCACCCACTAAAGTTGAAAATTGCAAGGTATCACAAAGTTGATGACAAGCTTCAATCAGTTTGTTTATTTGGCGTTTTTACTGCTCGTGACTGCTCAACTGGTTTTCACAGATTGTGAATGCAATTATTTCTCACGGCTGCTTCTTGAGGGACTGTAGTGTTCAACATTCTGTTGTTGGCGTGCGCTCACGTTTAGAATCTGCGGTGGAACTTCAGGTAAGCCAAGTACATCCTTGTTGTCCCATCCCTGTTTTTGGACTGCCTTTTTGGTCAAATTGTTGTGCAAATTCATTGAGATTTAAATGGCCTTCTTTACCGATAGGCTGGCTTTCCCTAGTATCTTCTTGAGTTGACAGATTTTCATCAATGTATTGTTTTTTTGAGCAACTCTGATGGATTTTTGAATTCGGCCATGCTATCCAGGATACCATGATGATGGGTGCAGATTATTATCAAACCGAGTCTGAAATTACATCTCAGTTGGCAAAAGGGAAGGTTCCAATTGGTGTTGGAGAGAACACTAAAATCAGGTCCGCCATTCATGTCTAGATTCTCTGTTCAACAGTCTAAGACATGCGCACAAATTAAAAATTAGTTGAATCGCCATCGTTTCTAATTTCTGCTGATTTCTTGCGTTGACTTTCTTCAAGGAATTGTATAATCGACAAGAACGCCCGGATTGGAAGAAATGTGATTATTGCCAATAAGGACGTAAGTTTAAATCTTCCTAGTGAAACTACCAAGCAGTGTTATTATTAGTGTTTTGTTCCCCAGCCTTCCCTGATTATTTAAATATATTGACTTTTCAGGGAGTTCAAGAAGCCGACAGGACTAAGGAAGGATTCTACATTAGGTCTGGCATTACGGTCGTACTGAAGAACGCAACAATAAAAGACGGAACAGTCATATAAATCATTCAGAGGCGACTTCATTGAATGGTCCGATGACTGAAGCTTCTGCGTTTAATTTGCAGACATAAATCTAGGAAAAAGCAACAAGAGCATACAACACATTTGCTCGCTTGTATATTACGATTTACGTTACATGAAATTGAACTTGCTTGTTTCTTACTAGAATAATAAATTCTTTTTCTACGAGATTTTACATACCGGTAACACACTTATATTCGAACTCATCTTAAGGAGAGGAAGCAAATACTGCGGATACCTCCATTTTAACAAATAACTGAGCTCACAATGCTGGCAAGTTTTGTTAGGCTGGCTATTTCAATTTCCGCCATTATTGGCTTCGTTCCACTTCTTGATGTCTTCAAGTCTCGCGAACATTTTTCTAATTCGATTAAGCTTTTGAGACTCTTGAGCAATCAAACCGGCAGTTGAGGGACTCTCCCCCAAGACTATTTCATAGCCATCTCGAAAAGAGTCCATTCCTTCAGCTAGGAGTTGCCAAAATAAGCCTCCAACTGCAGCCCCACCACTACTTGCTGATGAATAGATCGCAGAGTACACAGTGTTGAAGAGTTCGTCTCTGGCCTTCGAGTTTGAACCCAAATTCTTAGTTGATATTCCAAACTCAGCGAACAAGAGTGGCTTATGAAGAGTGTTCTGAGCATCTTTGATGTGCTCGCTAAGCCAACCATTCAAAAACGAGAGTTGGTCTTCATAACCTGAACCTGAGAGCCTGCTCAGGCAAAATAAATCCTCACTATGAATGATATTAACTCATTACAGAAAAATAATAGCAATAATTTGCAATGTCATTATTATGGTCACCATTGATCAGGGTACGAGTGAACTGTTGCAAAGTCAATGCCTGGGATCTGGTTATTTGCGATGAAATCTGTTCCTACCAGGAAGTTGGGATTAGACTGCTGCTTTGATTGACCATAGAAACCCTCCAGACCAGCTTCAAGCAAGTGGTTTCCATCAATGGATTTCAAAAAAGATGCCATCTCAGTAATCCAAGCCTGTTCGGAGGAAGGAAATCAACAAGATTCAACTTCGTTTATCTTTTTCTGTGTCATTTGAAAAACAAAGTGAAGTTCGTTTAATATTAAAATGGAATGAAGCAGCGGAAGAATGGTGTCTACCTGAACAACTTTTCCCGACTGATCTGAAGGACACCTTATCTCATTCATGAGCTCCCAGGCCATTATAGTTGGGTCATCTTTGTAAGCAACTCCGGTGATGCTGTTACGTCTTGTAAGCACAGTCTGCAACATGAAAAAAATCGAATGTTAGGAGCAACGTTAAGCTTACAATGATATGAAATTCCTTCCGTAACTAGTAAATCAATTCTCATCATACGGTGAACCACTCAGGATGTATGCACCGAGTTTATGCAACATCCTCCTTTCACTATATTTGTTCTATCCAACCACTGTAATTTTGACAGACCATGAATGGAATTCCAGAAGACCAAATTGTGGGGGGATTATATGAATAAAAAAGAAATATAAAAAATGTACCTTGATGTGGTTTTTGTAGTATCCCTTCACAACAGGGTTAGTGAAAAAATCATCTTCAGAACTGACGGACTGGCCCTGACTCCTTGCCCACTCCACGTACTGCTTCTTTCCTCCCAAGTTGTCGTAGTTATTCACCAAACTCAACACCAACTTCATCCCATATCTTCTGGCTTCGGATACCACGAAGTCTAATCCCTTTCATTTTCAGTCCATTAAAGAAGAGAAAACAAAATCAGCAACATATCAAATTAAATTAAAAAAACTAAAGCCTGTTGTTGTACCACTCGAAGCGCAACGAACGAATTAAAGAATCAGATATTTAAAGAAGATCAAGATCAAGGTAAACCTGGAACATATCCTCATTGTAGGATCCCGGAGAGTATTGGAGTGGCTTATAACCACCATCACTGAAAGCCCAAGTCCTAGCTATGCTAAGTCCGTGACTTTTAGCCTCTTGAAATGCAGATGAGACTTTGTTCCTCTGAGACGGATCAGAGGCCACGTACATCAACCAGTAGGCATTAAAGCCATTACCATAGAAGGGGCTCCCATTCAACATTAGTTGAACACCACTTGCTTTCACAAACCCATCGTCTGCTCCCACTAGGACTCGCTGTTCTAATATCGCGAACAGAACAATGAAACCCAGAAACAAGAAACGTTCCATCACTCTGTTTTCTCTCGCTTTCTCTTTCTCTCTGATGCAGTATGCTTCGGAACTTGATCAAACAAAGAATCTGTGACTGTTTATATGGTGGGGAAATGCATCTGGTACCAGAATCTCTCTCACAGGGATAAACAACCGAGATGGGGAAAAAAGTACAGCGTGGGCACTAGAATTTAGCAAGAGGAGAGGAGTAGCTCCGTCCAAAGCGAAGGAGGGTGGGCCTGGTGAACAGAAGTACAAATGTAGAAACCAGAACCTTCACACATTCACTATAACGTGGGGCCACAGCTTGGAAGTTGTCACCACTTTTTGGGTGAGATCAACTAAAACCAGAACCGTGCGTAAATGAGTGGTGGCAACAAGTTGCTATTTCCATAGAAAATATCATCAGTAATAAAGGTTGCACAATCAGCTCAAAAAAAAAAAATAAAGGTTGCACAATGTTATGTTCAAAATTGTGGGGTATGGACTTCTGGATGGGTTAGTGTCGTAGGTAAGGATCAAAAGATTGGGTGGAGCCTGGAGATGGATTCTCGGATTATAATTAGTCTTGTAGTAAAAGGTTCTCGGTCTCTCAACCCACAAAATATCTTATCAGTTTGATTAGCGATGCCTTCCACCATGCAGTTTGAGAAGCAAAAAAATAAAATGTAGTTTGAGGAGTGGCAAATTAGTAAATTAGTTGGTACGTCAAGCGTATAACACGGATATAGAAATTAATTTTTAATTGAACTTCTTAAATTGTGACGCCAAAAAAAAAAAGAATAGTTGATCATCGATGGCTATATTTTTTATTCCTTTTTTTTTTTTCAATAAGAAATAAAAGATGCTAACTGCCCTTTCAAGAAACACATGTATTTCTTTTTAAAGAATTTATAACTTTTTTTTTCAAAAGATATATCCAGGAACACCAAGCAAAAACATATATCGAAGTTTGAAAGGGGCAGTCATGCGCGGCGCGTCCCGTAAAAAAGGTTCAACTGTAACCAGCCAACCCAAGTATTAATGAAGAAGAGAATCGTCAAGCTGAGTTCGAGAAGAGCTTCAATCGCGGCGAAATTGCCGAGTTAGAATGCCTTTTATGTACGACACAAATCTCATCCACTGCCCTTGGTCATTTGAATAGGGAGTCAACTAGAATAAGACGGGCACAGTATAAATGACATCTTAGTGAATCTGATCCCTTAATTCAGCTATCTAATGAGGACAAGCCAAAGATTCATATGCGCAATTGAGGACTAAGCATGGAATAAAGGAGACAACCACCCCCCCCCCCCCAAATCAAAATAAAAAAACAAGAAGAAGAAGAGTGGCCGACACGAGTGACCTTATTTCACGGGGAAGCGTCAATAGTCAATACCTGACCTAACATATCACCCCAATCACAGATAATTACTTTCAGGACACCCCCCCCAAAAAAAAAAAATGAAAAGACAGGATAATTTCATCTCCAGTTTCGGTGCCTTTCATTATTTAAATACCATTCACAAGGTTTTGCTCTCTTGATACTCTGTGTCTGCTATTTTGTTGTCACTTTCCATCCCCAGTTTTAAGAGAGAAGACCGAAATGAAATGGAGTATAATCAAATGGAGGTAAATGCGGTTTGAACTCTGAATGCTAAAATGACTCCCCCTGCGCAATCAGAGCAACAATGCATTGTTCATTGAAGATATGGTGTCGCTTTCTATATAAAAATCACCTATTGTTCTATTGGTCGCCCGACCCATGATGTTCTGAAAAACAATCCCGTGGAAAATAGCCGTGGCATTTATTGAATCCCGATACAGAGCAATACGAGCATGATACACATTTCACAGCAAGCTGTGAGACGATTAGGTGGAAAGATGCTTCATGACATTGGAAGTGAAGAGGACAGGGCCTCGTGATGGTGTGTTAGTGTGATGGAGACGAAAAGAAGATGAGATTGACCCCTTTATTAAAAATTTCGAGCCATTGCATGTGACTTCCAACCCGATCTCCTACCCACTCGTGCCATGTTTTCTTTTCCGGGCAACCATCCATTATGTCATACCATCATTTACATTTAACTATTTATTTTTAATTTGGATGTAAAAATAATATATATAATATTTGACAAGAATGCACTCCGTCCTTCTAATTATATTATGAATTGATTTGTTTTGGAGATATATGAATCAGCTTCTCTCGTTATTTTCTTGATAGAAAAGGATTTTTCATATATCTGCAAAATGATTTTCTTTCATCATACGTGAATTGAGACGAACAACATGCATTATGCACGTGCTGTTATTATTCCACGATAGCTGTTTCTTCTTTACTAATTTTTTTGATTTAATTAATAAAAACTATTCACGTCCACAGCATCATTTTATTTTTCCATTCAGTTTCATTCTCACTGGACGAATGGGTTATTGGTACTCTGAACTAAACGAGGAGGCTGACTGGGGTATTGTTTAATTTCCTGGCAATTTCCTTTCAGAAGCCGCAGGGCAGAAAAGACTAATTGGGGGAGTGGGCCCATCATTATTTAGTCTGCTGAGATGAAGAAATCAACATTGGATGGAAAAATTGGAGTGGGCGTGTCGTTTTTAGCCAGTCATAGAACGGCACGTGATCTCCTTTGTTAGCCCTCATGTCTCCCAACTCCCAATACTGTCACGCAAGGACAGGTCTGTGGCTGTGAGAAAGAACCGTATATGTGATTGACGGAATTTTAAATTAGATAAAAAAATTAATAATTCATTGATTAATTTTATTTTTTGTGTTTTTGACGTCTGACACCGACACGATCTAATTATGATCGCTGCCCGACACGACGGCAAGCGGAAATGGACACGTGGTTGGATTAGTAATCCAACCGACTTTGCGTAAAGAGGATACCTGCGAGAGGACCCAATGGGGGATGACCGCGGATGCCATCCGGTGATCGCCTTCGTGTGGTTTTTATTATTGACTTCCGTTCTAATGATCTTCTCCTTTAATTTTACAAATCATTCAGATATTCAGTGCAAGAAAGGAC